GCCCTCCGACCACCGACCTACGACCACCGACCTCTGTCGAGCTTCGCGGCATATTGAAAAATTATAAATTTCGTGAACGTCCACTTTTCAGTGCCAGCAAATCACCGTTCGCGAACCTTTTGACAGATTATGTGGAAGCTGAGAACAGAGGAAAATTCCATGGCGAATGTTGGCCTTATTTTAAGGACTGCCCAAAATCGTTGTTCCGTTCAGCGGAGAACAGATACGCGTAAGTAGATGTATCCCGACACAGAAAACTCGAATGAGATACGTGCATACACCTGCGTCATCGAAACTATTTTTCTTGCAGAAAAGAGGCGTTTCATGAAAATCCCGACACCGTTGAAACCATCGAATCGGATCGAAGCGAGGAACGATATTCTTCTTCGGTAGACTCGACGAGACGATCGCGCGACAAAATTCAATTATTTACAAAACGCCCGTTGCACCCGTCCATGTAAATGTAGCGATACGAGTCGAACGAATTCCCTACCCTTTTCGTAGTAAAATCGAACGATATTCGAAGCGTATCCAACTTGCAGAAAATCTAAAATTCTCCGCATAGAATGTACGAACGTATGAATTTCTAACGAATCTATGCACGCGTGTACGTTTCTACGTATTTATGTATGCACGCGTTCGAAAATATCTCACCCGTTTCACCCATATCCCCCATCTTCCCTATCTTTATCTCCCTTTCTAACTACATACGTACGTATCCGTCTCACCGTCTATCTCACTTTACAGCCATATTATTTTTTAGTTTTACACGATATCGTTATCGCGTTACGGTAAGAACAAATATCGTTTACAAACCGATCGATCGACGTTTCATCGATGATACATTTTGTGTAACGAAACAACGGAACGCTTGGGTACATATGTTAACGTCGATGTCGAGACACACGGTTGTTACCGTGTTTAGTTCGTTACCGTTCTTTCGTGCAACTCACGTACATTGTATATATGTATGTATCTATATGTATATATATATATTTTTTTAAAGATTTTATTAAACATTCTCAATGCGCGCGCGAGTTACCGAAATCTACGGAACACATTTTTCAAATTTTCGTTATCAGCTCGGACAAAAAGATTGAAAAGATTGAAAAGATTGTAATTTTTTTATTTTCTTTTGTCATTTTAATTAACAGCAAAATGTGAAAAAAATATGTATCTTACTCGTTGCACCGTTAACCAGTTCCTCTAACGTTGAACGGATCGTCGAGACGTCTCGTCCTACGGTGCAGAAAATTATTAATAATTATAAATGCGGCGGAACCCTTCGTAATAAAGTAAGACGTGGTAGAAAAAATAATAATGCGCGAAGCCGACGAGCGTATAGCGAATAGCGAGGCAAATTAAAATTCATCTCAAAACCGATGTTCCAAAATTAACAAAGGATGCGTCTTCGAGAATTAAATTATCTCTACGGAAACTGACCGCAGAGTCATACGTGATAAAGGGTACGCATGTATCACGCGGTAGAATACGCGAGACGCGAGCGTTTATAATTCGCAAAACGTTTGTTAATTGCGACCAAGGTTTTACGAATAATATAATGTTCTCGAATCGAGTTTAATACGTACAATATCGATACAATGTATATGGCTCATGGCTCATGGTCCATGCGGTCCAGGCCCAAGGTCTAAGATACAGGTACAAGTTGCGGTTACGTAATTCTAAGTTACGAGTCCCGAGCTCTGACTTTGACGAGTATAGCTTTACGTATCTAAACGATCTCGAGTCCGTGAATCGAATGGATCGTTGACGACCAATCCTGGTCCAAGCAGAAGCAGCTCCGAGTGTGGTCGAGAAGAGACATTCCAAAAGAGAGTCCGTTCCAGCATTCCTATTCCAGCTATATTGACTCTGTAATTATCGGAATCGATAGGAATCAAGATGGAATAATGTTCTTATCGTCGAACGCGTTTTAAAAAACTGAAAATATTCAATTTATGCGACTAACCTGAGAGTAGTCCGACGGAATAAGAATTACGAATGCGCAAATAATGAGAAGTGTGTAGTTCGAAACGAGAGGAACAAGAAAAATGAATCAGGCAAACGTGGAGAAATTTGTTTCTAGGTTAAGATACAATGTTGGATCGAAACCACGAAGATTCGGGAATCCGGATGGTCCTGAAGGACGACTGCGAAAACTTCGAAAAACCTTAACAGCTTTAGTTAAATACGAAAGAATCGAATTGAATTACCCGAGGGCAGACGAGACGAGAGGTTATATCGAACGAGTCCGTATCCTATGTAGAAATTATTTATTAATCCTTGCGAGAAGCTTTGTTATCGTATCTTTTTACAGTTAATATCGGAAACATTGCGTCATGGACCCGAACACAAAGAAACGATGGAACTGGCAAACTTTTGGATATTAGAAAAACAACTTGTCCATAAACTTTTCAAGGTACTTGGACCAAGATTTCAGGATTATACGACTTCCTATACGAAACTTCATAGAGCGCCAACCATTTATTCTGGAAACAAGCCTGCGTATGAACGAGCTGTTTTGGAATTAAGAGGTATACTTTTCAAACTAATCGTACGATATCTTGTGTTCGTTGCGTTATTAATCCAATCGACTAATTCTAGGAAATATATATCCTAGTATCGAACAATATAATCCGAATCAATCTCTTTTACTTCATAATATATTACTCGATGGGGCAAGAAAAGAATTTCGAATGGATAAATATAAAGAAATAGCAGCTAATATGGATGTATGAATTTTTTGTAACAGCTATATTATATATTCGTAGAGAAAATATACAAATTTTGCCATGATAATTATATTTTATTCTATCGTTAGCATAATTTTACATCGCTAATCCGATTTAAAAGCATGCGTCGGATACTCTTCTTGAAACTCTGCGACATGGTTCGCCATGGAATGTAATTGCTTCCTAAAAGTAAACGAGAAGATTGATCGTTCGTAAAACTTTTTAAACTTACCGCTTAATTGTATTTAACAATTGATCCTCCAAAATATAATTTTAAATATAGTTTTAAACAAAATTCAGAAACATACTCGATATGTACTGGCATCGTGTGGTATATATCCGTGAATAATTCTTTCCAACAAGGTTTCAGTTCTTTCTCTGCATCCGTAAACGCGCGTAACACGGACTCTTTTATGGCATCGTTCGATTGTTGTTCTCGCTTTTCGCACCAAAAGTTCATCGATTCTAAATAGCTTCGAAATCTTGCGATTGGCAAATTGCACTTCCACCGAGTTATTTCATTGATCGATCGATACGCGCTACTATCATCGGAAGTACTGTGATGGCCCATTCTAAAGTATACATAGACGAATGGATACAAGTTGCATCGAATATCGAAACATTACTGAAATCAAATCGAAGAAAGTAAACATTTTTCTACCGATACGTCATAGCTTCGATCAAAACAGGTTTTCCTTTCTCAACGCAGTATCGACGAGCAGCTTTCGTTGCACTATACATAGCAAGAATGTCGTTGCCGTCTACACGAATTGTACGTATCCCATAGGCTGGGCCTCTAGCAGCGATCCCATCTCCTTTAAATTGTTCCAGCGAAGGTGTTGAAATGGCATAACCATTATTTCGACTTGAAATAACATTCAAAGAACATAGAATCGTTTCATGCGTGAGTGTTAACTTCTGTTAATTGCTCGAAACAGCGTCCGAAAAACGAAAGATATCTCTTGATGTTCAACACGGTATTTAATCAAACGATTGATATATCGAGGAATAAAAAATATACCAGATAAAAATAATTGGACACTCCAAAGTTGCAGCAAAATTGAAGGCTGCATGAGCATCTCCTTCGCTGGCTGCACCTTCGCCAAAATAACATGCTACGCAGCTTCTAGTTTTTGATTGTTTAAGCGCGTACGCCGTACCTACAGCTGAAAATCCATGCACGTCGAGCTTGCATCAGAGAATTTACTGTTTTATGACATTTTTATAGAGTATTTGCCAATTTTGCTACCTTGTGGTAATTGTGTTGTTAAAGGTGAAGAAATAGTGACAAAGTTCAGTTTTCTCGATCCATAATGAACAGGCATTTGCCTCCCCTTCGAAGTATCCTTATGGTTACCGTAACATTGATTCATAAAATCTGTAATAGAATAGCCACGCCACAATAATACACCTATAAAATAAATAAATGATAAATTAAATGCTTTCCAACTTATGCTATAACATACTTTATTACATCGTTATCAGCATCGTATCGTTGTTAATAATTCAATTAAATTCCTACCAGCTTCACGATATTGCGCATATATGATATCTTCTAATGTAAGAGCTGCGGCAGAACCAATTTGAAGCGCTTCTTCGCCGGTATTAGTCATATAAAATGATATACGTCCTTGTCTTTGAGATTCGTAAAGGATTTTATCCATTACCGTCAAAGTAAGCATTTTATAATACATTTTAGTCAATGTTTGCTCGCTTAACTTATGGATTAAAGAAATATATTATTAAATGGAAATGAAAAAGAAACGTTGAGAAAATTATATTCCATATATTATATACACGAAATATTTGAACCTCATGTTTTTCAGGTGATTGTTCTTGTTTAGATGAGTTTAAAATCCTAAATATGGGTAAAGCGTTGTAACTTTCCTTATCAAAAAATTGTAATTTGTCTGTAAATTTGACTTCTATTCCCAGGAATTGTGGTTCTGTTTCGTCGGTAACAATACCTGTAGTAGTAATAGTATTGATTCCAATTTTAGTATTTATATGATCCCATTGTGGTTTCGCCTAAATTGAAAGTGACGAAAAGGGCATTTAACTACATATTTTAGACGTAGTGGTAGAGTACTATGCACTTACTTGTAAAATATTTTGGAAAAATATTCGTCTTACAAGTCCTGGCAGAACTTTGTTAATCATTGTGTTAGACAAAAATTTCTTTTGTAGAATTTCAATTTTTCTACTGTAGAATATGTTTCTGTTTTCGTTTGACAACGTTTACGTAATACCGTAATACCATTTTTCGTACATGCATACATATATACGTACACATACAAGTAGCGCGAAATTCGTTATATGTAATGTAGTAATGTGACATATGCAAATTTATGTATATATATTAACACATACAGTACTAATATAAGTGAATATGATAGTAGCAGTGGAAGCAACACTTGCCTACATACAAGTTACAATTACAAATTAGAAATGTACCACGAGGCCATGGCACGGACCATAATGACCATGGCCATCGTAACTGATAAGGACGGTGCCTTACGGTAAGATGGTGCGTCTACCGGGTGAACATTAGAATTCTGAACTTCGATCAGACCGAGACTTTACGCCGCGTCGCGATCGTAATTCAGAATTATAATGTTCATTCGGTAGACGCGGCACGCTACTGCGTTGGATTGCCGCACATGGGTCACCTGCATCCCCTGCATGCATCCCTTGCATAACCTATGTTGCCGTGAACACTGGGCATAAGGGGCATAAAGGGAACTAAGGCACAAGAGCAAGAATAGCATGCAAACTGAGGTTGGAATTGGATATGCATATGTACATACTATATTATATTTATAGTATGTGTATGCATACGATATATCGATCACAAACACAGTCCCTCTCTGTCTAAAAATTGTCTACGTGTTCAGCAGTAGCAGATGCTGCCTCTACTGGCAAGTTGGGCATGATTCGAAGAATTTATTCGAATAAAATATGCCCATCTCTGTCTCCAGGTACATGTACAATATGTCAACATCGAAGTGTCAAACAGGACTAGATGACATCAGACGATCGACCGTTCTTGATACATAGTTCGTGGTTCTTGGATTTTCCAGTCATGACCAGCGGTGTCAAATGTGTCCAATGGTGTCAAGGATGTTGCTCGGAATTTGCTCCAAGTGGTGGAGAGGAGACTTCACAAATGGGGTTGGACGATTCCAATGGATTACAGATGAAACTCATTGGCATCATCCAATCCCATTTGCGAGCTCTTCTCTCCACCACTCTACAATACATTCCTATTTTTACTGTAGATTCAAATAAATTAATTTCTCTTATGAATTTATATAACTTAATTATATACTCCCAAGACTGTCCGACGCCATGCTATACTTTCCTGGAAAAAGATTGTATATATGCCTATACATATATACATATGTATGAAAAAACATCTGTGCAGACGCGGGAAAAATACGAAATGGAGTGGGAAAAGTGGGAATGTGGGAATGAGAAGCATGGAAAGGGAAGGAATAAGTCGCGCAGCTTCGCATTTCGCATATCGCGTATGTTATGTTTCGTCTGTTGAATTTTGCGTTTAACGGAAATAAATTTCATTTTTTACAATAAATTCATATTTTAATCGAACAGGAAGACTACAGCACTATGCTTACCTACGTAGCCTACCAATAACAAATAAAATAACGTAGATTAAAGGAAATAACGTATATCGGAGATCATAAAAGAGTTTAACCTCCCTTAAAATTGAATGTCCAAAGGAGAAATGGATTCCTTAATAGATCGAAATTTGTACGATTTTATTGGTGTAACAAATACAGCCACGACCCAAGAAGTATGTACATTTTCTATAAAAATAATACATGTACGATTTCTTGCCATTAAAAGTAACAAAAATTACAAGATACGATGTTACAGTTCGATCGATACAGTTATTCATATGTATGCGGTATCGTATAATTAATTTCCTTTGTCGTTCTAGATTAAAAAAGCATATCGCAAGAAAGCCTTGTCTTGTCATCCCGACAAAAATCCGAACAATCCAAAAGCAAAAGAGTTATTTCATGATTTATCACGAGCATTAGAAATTCTTATAGATTCTTCTGCCCGGGTAAGCGTATAGTACGATTACTATTACTTTATAACTGTCTTAGAAAAATTCAAGAACAATATATTTCTTAACTTCTTTTCTATTCATATTCAACGTTTCATTCTATGGGAATATAAGGCAGCTTACGACAAAGTTATTAATGCCAAGCATCTGGCAACATTACGGACTAAAGAGTTAGATGCCAAACGCAGGAAATTGAAAGAAGATTTAGAAGCACGAGAAGATGCCTATAAACAATCTTTATATTCAAAATATTCTACAAACAATGACGAATGTAAATTACGGGTAAGCATTGTATTTCATAAACCATTTCAAATGTCCTTTTCTGTCGGAAGCTTTCAACATTGGTATTATGTTGTATTTTAGGCTGAAATAGAAAGGCTTCGGAAGGAAGGATCTAAGCAGGTGGAAGAGGAAATAGCACTTATGAAACAAAAAATTGAACAAGAATCGAAAAATTTGCGGGAATCTGTTGACGTTGACAGTGATTCTTTCAAAATTAAAATTAAATGGAAAACTAATAAAAACACTTTGAACAATAGTATATACAACTATGATACGTTGCATAGAATATTTTCAAAGGTATACGCTGCACACAAAATGACAATGTTTGTTATATATCTAAACGTTTTTACACACCCAAACTGGTAGCAATGATTATTATTAATTTTGTTGCAATTTTCTGAAAAACAATTTGGTCCACCTCTTCTTCTTAAATTGTTCTTTTTGGGTAACGATCGTTTGTTTTAGTACGGTGATATAGCAACTCTTATCCTTTCATCGTCAAGGGAAGGCAGAGCATTAGTTGAATACCGAAATAGGAATGAGGCTGTATGTTTATGAATTACGTTAAAAGTGAATATTTCTATTTAAAAGAAACAACTTGTAAGTGTGAAAATAATTTTGTTCGTTAGGAGATGGCCTTGAACCTAGAAGTTGGTTTAATGGAAAACCCACTGAAACTTCAGAAATTGTGGGATGTAGCAAAACAATCGAATTACAAAGAGATTGGATCGGTTGACGCCATTAATGATTTTGCAGAATCCAAGGTTATATTAAACTAATATTTTCTTCTTTTTTTTTTGCAGCGATAGATTATCAATATTAATGTTTCAATGAAATGTAATGTTTCAGATAAATACAAGTAAAATGTCCGATGCAGAATTTGAACGCACTGTGTTGAATAATCTTAGAAGAGCTGAGGAACAAAAAAGGCACATAAAAACGTCAATTTCGAAGGAAGCCACTTAATAAATAAATTCGTAGGCAACGGTTATACTGCTTTCCTAGATTTATTTATTATATGTTTAAGAGTATGTACCGAAGTGCTCAAATTATAATAAAGAATGTTATTTATAGTTATAATAATGGAATGAACCAAAGTTATTGATTTTTGCGTATATACGCTAAAGCGATGTAGAAGCCATAATGTTTCAAAGAAAAATCGGTCTTCGAATATGAGAATTGACCGTTCAGTTTTACATCGAAATTAAATTGCAATCGTTAATCAAACGCAACTGAATTTATTCAGATCTTTTTCTGCTCCTTCGAAGAGATCAATAATACGATTCATTTAATTTAAGATAACGTCCTTTGGTTCTTTCGTTCTTTTTGTTTTTTTCATTTCTGCCTCCTCGATAGGTGCTGTCTTAACAAATGGAATTTCATCTTGATATTCAATTGGCATAAACTGCGCAAGAACTTTCGGGACTTTGATACCGGTATCGGTTTGATGTACTTCTAAAATGGCGCATATAACACGTGTAACTGCACACATTGTTGCATTTAACATGTGTACATAATCGGTATTTGCATTCATCTTTTTTGTTTGACCATACCTAAAATATATTGAAACATCAATTTCATATAATTATATACGATCGATACATACGTACGTATGTAGTTCCAAAGAATAGAATTTAAGGAATTTAATTTTCTCAGTGAACGTAATTGTAGTCGTTGAAATTTATTTACCTGACCAATAATCGTCTAGCTTGATAATCTAAACAATTGCTGCACGACACAAGTTCACGAAATGCACCGGATCCAGGGAACCATGCTTCTAAATCCAATTTTTTTGAAGCAGCATTATTCAGTGCACCCGATACTATATTTACTATGCGGTATGGAATCTCCAATGCTTGATAGAATTCTTCCGCATTAGAAATCATCTCTTCCATCATTTGCCAAGATTTATTTTCATACGGAGATGTTAAACAAAACTGTTCGACCTAACACAAATTTACGAATAATCATAAACTTGTACATTGTTTTCTTTAAAAAAATAAAATTCTTAATTTATTAGATATATACCAAACAATACCTTTTCAAATTGATGAACTCTAAAAATGCCTCTTGTATCGCGTCCATGAGATCCGACTTCTTGTCTGAAACACGTAGATAATCCTGCATATTTGATTGGCAATGTATTTTCAGGGATCCATTCGTTTCGATGAAATGCAGCTATCGGTTGTTCCGATGTAGCAATCAAATACTTTTCATCTATATCTTTCTCGTCGCAACGCTCGCTTCCTTTACCAATTACCTAATCGAATCGAGTAGTAATTGAAAGATTCGATGTAACGCAGACACGAAATGTACAATTAATAAGCATTTTACTTGTACCTTATACAATTCTTCGTCAAATTGAGATAATTGTGCTACTTCCTGCATAGCATCTTTGCGCATGAAAAAAGGAGTATACAGAGGTTTATAACCTTTAACAAACAATTTTCTAAGGGAAAATTGTATTAACGCCTGTTGTAAGAAAATTGCTGCTCCCATTAAAAAGTAACCACGTCCACCAGAAACATTGGTGCCACGTTCTCCGTCCAATCCGTCGATCATATATATTAAATCAACGTGCGAGTACCTCTTGTTTTGTGTACAATCCCCATATGTTTTTTCGACCTGGTAATGAACGTAGAACATTGTATGGAAGTATGTATATATTACATACAGGTCATTTTGTGATCATTTACATACCTTATTTTCTTCCTCGTCATTGCTAATTGGTACAGATTCGTGCAAAAAGTTACCTATTTCTTTAAGGGCTTGATTTCTTTCCAACTCAGTTGAAACGAGGTCTTTGTCATTCTTTGTAATTGCATCATCTATGCAACCACGAATAGTCTTGATCTGTGTGACCGTTAATGATTTCAGGTTATCAGATGTTAAATTATCCAAATTTCCAAGAATATCCTCTGAAACGGTACTATCACAACCTACCGCCTCTTTCTTTTTCATTCTTTCTCCAATCTCTTTGCTACATACATTTTTCAATTTATTGAAATTGTCGGCTCTGTGCCGCAATTTTCGCCAAAGTTTGTCTTTTTCAATTACCAAGTCTACTAAATTTACATCTTTAAAACGATTCTTTTGGTTTTCTCGTATTTTATCAGGATTAAAACCTTTGTTTTCTCGAAAAAGATCTAGATCTAGTACCATGGTTAATGCCAAAAATTGTTTCTACACTTTACACGAATTCACACCTGGATCATCCCACAGTTTGAAAAGCGTATAAGAGACTAAAGAACGCGTTCCTACTTCCAACTCATCATTTACTGTGCTCCTGACGTTCCTGTTCCTTTCATACGCAAGCGTAATTTGAGCGCGACACTGTACGGTGTTACGCATCTATACAATACATCTGCATAGCATATATAGAATATACATTGAATGCTATGTTATACACGTATGTATATAAATACGTAGTGTGAATGCATTGTGTATACATAAGTACACTATGGCCAAAATTATGGGTCTGAGATTTATGATTAATGAAAGAACACTTACAACACACACACAATATTATTTCATGATATGGGAGAATTTTTATTACATCTTTTAGTACGTAACTATTATTATATTATACCTCTGATTCTTTCATATTATATTTAATTGAAAACTTCATCACACTGTTTCCTAGTTCCTGCTTCGATTTGCGTACATACGTACATATCTTTATAATGCACTACTTATGCATATGTACAATGGGCACATACATATATTTCTATAAATCCACAAGTCCACATGAACGTAAATTGCTGTTTTATGACACGATAAAGTTGATATTTAAGAAAAACCACAAGAACTGAAAATGTTAATATTTATATATATAATATGAATGTGTGTGTATGTAGGGGTGGCGGGGGCGGGGTAGTCCAGTTTCATATATATTCATTTCTTCATTTCGTTCATGTTGCAAACGTGCTGTACACATGACATACATACATATCATGTGTAACGTGTGTTGCGTGATACATGTCGAACCACGACGCATCTATATAAAACAATAAATGAGTAGTAATATACACACATGCATACATCATATGCGTACGTAAATACATACGGGTACATATTACACGATGCTGCACTGCTATTAAGGCGCATGCGTGCACATGAAATTCGTTAGAAAAACAGGAACTCTGAATACTCCACGGTATACGTATACATCGATAACATTCATCGTCGTGGATTGATGGACAAATAAAAGTTGTTCGATGTGTAACGTGTTCTGAATTTATTACAATGAATGGAAAATCAGGTACAGTGTAAAAATAAAGTATCGCGGTGAATTGAAATAATCAGGTGAGTATGGTATGGTGTATAGTTTTGATAATTTGTAACATAACCTTATAGCATTGTCAATTCGATGCTTGTGAAATCGCGCGAAATAAGTGTGAGGAAAAACTAATCGGTTAGTGATTTAGACTAGGTATTAGGGATACACGAGCTTTGAAATTATCAACGTTCATTCGAAATACAGCAAGCAATCGCGCAAGTGTTTTTCTCACAACCGTTATTTTCCAGGTAGAACAATTAAAAACAAGTGCATACATAACGCTCGATTACTACATTCATGTACATATCTTATTCGTTGACACACAACTAACGTCGTTTCAATGCTCGTGTTTTCTATAAGCCTTAATCTTTACGCGATAGCTTATATATGTGCAAATCGAATGGAAGTTGCAATTGTTTCAATTTGAAAAACGCATATGTGTCCTCTTATACGACACTTTATTGCTTTCCAAGTCTTTTATCATTTCATTCTTGTTCGCATTAGAATCCTGCAGATGAAATAAAAATTACAGAAACAATATTGTATATTTACGCTTTTGTCTTTTCCAGATACGGTATAGTAACATACATTCCAAAAAAGATTGGGGCATAATAGTAGTATCTGTACGTAAAGGCATATTTGCATACATAAATGCCCTACAACTAAAAGGCATACAACTCGACGCTAGACCGGTGAGTTCCAACACAAAATATTGCTTGGTAGTACGGCGGACACTCAAAGCCAACTAACCATGTCTGTACAAAGTGTTGCTCTGGCATCTCTCACGGCCACCTATACCGACTCGGAGGGCGAAGACGGGGTGGAAGACGACCTTCAGGAGAATTCGAACACTCCCCAGGGGGCCGCCCCGAATAATGCCCAAGTCGGTCAGCCCCAGGCTTTCACCAGTCCCAAATCTGGCAGATCAGCCTCAAATAGTCCTGTCGTTGCTCCCAGCGTTGGTGGCAAGTCTAGTAACGATTTGTCAAACGCACCCACCTTAGTGACAGATGTGACATCTAAGGTGCAAAGACTGGTTTCATACTTTGATGACACGATAGTCTCCGATGACGAGGGAGGGCTGCAAATACAAATCGACGGGCAGCCTTCTGAAAATGGAAGGCCCTCCTCGATTACAGACCGCTCTCCCTCTTGTCAAGGAGAATTAGTTTCAGATAGCGAGGTTGACACCTATGGAGTGACTATACCGCCGGAACCATCAGGACAGTGTCCTGTGGAATTACAGGAGAAGATAACCAAACTTTTCAGGAAAATGGAGAGCGGTGGTTTGGATATGAATAAAGTTATACAACAAAGGAAGGACTTCAGGAATCCATCCATTTATGAAAAACTTATTCAATTTTGTAGCATCAACGAATTGGGCACCAATTATCCTCTGGATAGATTTGATCCGTTTAAATGGGGTAAAGATTCGTATTACGAGGAGCTTGCTAAGGTTCAGAAAGCTGAAATGGATAAACTTGAAAAAGCTAGAAAAGAGAAAACAAAAATTGAGATAGTGTCTGGTACAGCGAAGCGGCCAAATAGTTCTAGCACGACCGAGGACGATGCTAAGAAAAGAAAAAGTAAATGGGATCAAGTGGCAACTGGAGCCACTGCCTCAGTAAAGCCTACCGTCTTACTATCTCAACCGACGCTTACCACTTTAACGTCATCCGCAACTGGTACCAAAGCAACGGTAATATCGGCTTTCGGATCTTTACCAAAGAAAAGACTGTAACATATTTTGTAAATCATTTGTAAATATTAATTCTTTCAAAAGCCAATTATTATACTTCATCCCTCATTCGAAGTTTTGCCCTAAGCACGGGAACAATAGTGAATTTTATGTAAGTGTATATACGCGTATCACATTTCGTGTATACATAAAACTATTATATATATATACACATATATAATTATATATATATATATATATAAAACTATTATATATATACACATATATATAAATATATATATATATATATATATATATATATATATATATATATATATATATAATTTGTTCACCATTTAATTTTATACGTTTAC